ACTTGTTCTACACTTACATCAGACTCTTCACCGTTGTCTAACCATTTTCTGTTTGCCAGTATGAAAGCATATCAGCAAAAAAAATCATTACAACATGACTGAAGCATGCAAAATTTCCATTATCCATTCTGTAAATAGAACAATCCAAGCGATCCTGAACATTTATATAAATCTGTATTAACTTAGTCATTTGATGTATGTCTGACTTTCCTGGTTCCAAGTTTCTTGCAGTTTGCAGAGAGCTGCCAGCAGGACCCGTATGTGAGGATTTGCAGCGTGGGGGCAGCGTGCCATCTGCTGCTCTCTGAGCTGCTACAGCAGCGCCCAGTGCTGCCTTCTGCTGCCTCTGAGCCGCACACACACACACAGCTCAGCCCACATCATTGAAAATGTTACAAAAGCACCAAAACCGGAGCTCAGATGCCTTCACACAGCGTTTGTGAGGTGAGCTGGCAAATACTGCGCTCCAGACCATGGGAGTCTGCCCATGCACATGAGGGGCTCCTGTACCTGCTCTAGGCCTGCTAGAACACAACAAAAATTTGACTGCAAACTAAAGGATACTGGTAAATAATGTAATCAAACTGTTGAAAAAAAAAATCACTTTGAAAGTGCATTTGCAATGAACTCTAGGGGTCAAGAGTTCAAGGGGCTGGAATTCGGGAACATCCTTTGAATGGTTACATACCAGGAGAGCCTTGAAGAACTCCTCCTGTCCCAGCCTGGTTCCATAGGAGCACATGCCGAGGCAAAAGCAGTGTATGAAATAGATTTACCACCAGTTTGACTCATGTCCACTGATGGGGTGGAGGAAAAACAGAGACCATGAATCAACACAAAACCGTTTTCCGAAATTCACCCTACAGTGTTTCACCACATCCTTGTAGTACAGGTTATTTCTTTCTGTTCCAAGTGCTCTCCAATAAATCAGCTGAAAACATTAGGCAGCATTTCCTCAGTAATTAACCATTTCACCCTCCCTATACAGTGCAGTGGCAGAGCCAGGCTTGTGGTCACCCACAGCACACTGCTGAGCTGGCAAAGGGTCAGCCTGGACATTTTTCCTACTGATAACAGAGCTCCAGGTGCTTAAATATAAATCATGCACTGCCCATTTCTGCCTGCTGCTCCACACACACACAAATGCTTCCTCCAGCTCTCACTAAGGATGGATATGAAAAGCTTGGGGTACAATCTCCTACCCAACCCCTCAGAGCACACTTTACAGTGATGGGGCCTCTCCAGGCAGTTACACCCCCATCAGGCGGGATAACAGGGGAAACAGAAATCCTCAACATCGGATAAAGTGAAAAGAGTAACTATAACGTATAATAAAATAATTTAGGAACAAATGAATAAAAATAAAAATAATATTATTATAATAAAGAGAAATTACAGATCAGAACGACAACTACTGTAGAGCCACACTGCCTTTGAAGTCTCATTAGTAGGAATTTTGCTCACGAAAATACCTAGAGCACCAGTACACTTTTACGGGGCACTTCCTGTCCCTTAGCATTAGAGAAGTCCACCAGATTTTAAAAGAACAAGTCAGCTTTGACAACTGAAAGGAACACGTTGCTTTAATGGAAAAGCAATTCAGTACAGTGCATAACTTTCCTTTTAATAGTGAGAAAGTTGAAGTACATTCCAAACCTGAAGAGGCAAAAATATTCTGGAGATTGGTACTGTCCTCCAGAAAGCAAGGAAGACATGCTACACAAGTGAAGCCAAACCTCAGTCACTGTCACAATTCTTGCTAAGGATTTGCAAGGATTTGCTTGAGGCTCCAACAGAATTCTTTCTCAAGATCAATTCATCTCATCTTACTGACATTCTCTTTATAACATCTACATTATGACTGTCCCCTACAGTTAAGGTGAATTAACTGCTGCTTCTTCAAAAATGCATCTTACTTTTCCTTTTCCATATTTAAAATGCAGAAAAGCCAAGTAATGTGAGAAATACAGTGGAAACCACATAAATGAATAACCGTCAAAAGAACAGAACTATTAAAAGAATAAATCTTGTGTACCCAGCTGTGAAATATAACACAATATAGCGCAACCCAGCTAAATGTTTGAAATAAAAAATTGAAATGCAAAGTAACCTAAAACTGTTTAATGAACATTGCTGCTAAAATATTAACTCCTTGCATGCCAAAACTCCAAAGCATACATGGTAGGAAGCCTGATTAGATGAACATCTCAATAAGTGGTTCTGTCTCTCTCCATCCAGTCATTTTCCCTCAGTTGAGCTCTCAAGAGCTTTTATGGGTGAGATATATTGGCAGGTTCATTTCTGCACAGACTGTTTGAGTTCAAATGTTGTGGTTTACAAAAATTATTTACCTTTGAGCTGTGCTGAAGCTGGGCTCTCACGCTGATCCAAGAACCACAGAATTGCCAGTTCCACTTCTTCATTTTACTACTGGGGTAACTGAGCATCCGTCAAAGAAATCATCCAGAAAACTCTTAATGACACAAACAAACATTTTCAGGAAGAATTCTGAAATGAAAGCATATTGCCACAGCCAATCTCTTTGGGAACCCATCAGCTATTTCTGTTTGCCCAGCTTTAAGGCTGTTCTAGGATGTAGCGGGAGCAGCAGCTGGTCTGTCAGCACACAGATGGATTGGCCCCAATGGACAGTGAGGGCCCAGCTCGTGAGGGAACGGGTGAAGGTGCACCCGGGTAAGACAGTGATTGGCTGGATTCAAACCCAAACAGCGGATCCCAGCCAATCCCTGTGAACCATCATCAATGCACCCATCCCATTGGCCAGGGAGCTGGGCGGAGCTAAGGCCCCAACCAATCACGTGCATGTGCGCAGGAAATTCAAAGCCCCTCTAAAGGGGGCGCCCAACACCGAAACCGCGGCCGTCACGTGCCTGGCGCCAACATCCGCACAAGATTTCTCCTTGTTTAGATGCTAATTATGCTAATTGGCCATGATGAAACATAAACATCAACATAATGTTTTTCTAATTACTTTGTAATTTGAAATTTCCTCAGATGTGTGTGTTATGCTGTGGTGAATTTGTAAAAGAGCTTTGTTGTTTTTTTTTTTCTTGGAGCATCCCTTCCAGACGGAAACAAACAGAAGTCTGAGAAACTTCAGGGGTCTCAAACTGCAAGTGCAGAAGAGCAGTTTGGGTTCCCTGGGCACTGAAGCTCTTGTACATAGAAACAAATTTACATATGTACCATATAAGGCAGGGTCATTCCCTCCACTTCTGTCTGTCCTAAAACATCTGAACCCAATGATTTTTCTGCCCTAAATCCTTCCCTGGTAAATATTTCCATATTAACAAGATTCAGTTCAAAGAATCAATTTCAGTCTGTGTCAGCCAAGAAAATTTAATTAATTTTTAAAAGGAATATTCCTTTATTTAACCTCACGAGTTCTTCTGCTATCTATTCCTTGAAATCTGAATTCCCTAGCAATTCTTAAAATTAATTCTCACTTTTTGTCAGGTCTGGTACAGCCACTGGATTAGAAGTCAGTAGCTACTTCATCTGTAAACCTGTATATTAAAACCTTTCACTTTTAATAAAAAAATAGCGGAAGATTGCTAACACCACAGAGCCCCAGGGTAGATTAGAAAGGCAAGAAACAAAGGAGAAAATGTAAAGCTTTTTCTCCACTTCTAAGTTGCATGTCGTTTTTCATGTGTTAGCTAGTGGATGGAAAAGAACATGATCAAACGTGCACAAGGATTAAGAAAGTTTTTGCTACAAGAAATTGGGCATTCACAATAATCCCCAGCTCACTGCAATAGGAAGACTCTAGTATGCACAATTTTAAATCTAGAGCCTTCTTTTTTATTCCAAGCTCTAGTCTAAAAATAAGGTTAAATTTCCAGTTGTTGACCAGCAGCTCCTCTGCACTTCTTCACCCACAATAATTAAAGGAAGTACTGCAGAAAACAGCAAGCAGAACTCACAAGTAATAAAATTTACACTTGTGGAACACACAAATGAAAGCCCTTCAACCCCTCCTGCCAAGGCTCTGGAGAGATTACAGACTTAATTACCCCAAAATGTTACAGAGAGGATGAGGGAACTGCTCAAGGAGAAAAACACCTTGGCCTGATTTGACAGTGCTGCCTTACCACAAGAATTTGACTTTCTTCTTGGTTTCTCCTAGTTCAATAAAATAATTCTTTTAGCAAATACTGAGATGGTAGGGCCTGGCAAAACTGAGATACAATTAAATTAAGAAAAACATAAAAAAGAAGACAAGCTCAGAATTTATACAGTCCAAACTTTATGGCAAGACATAGAGAGATGGCAGAGAGATGGAGAGACAGCAAGAGAGACATGGAAGAAAGAAGACTGGAATTTTTGTCTTTGAACCTTTTTTGGCCACTGGAGCTTAATTGGGTGCCCCATAATCCATTTAAGCACAGAATTCATGAAGTCAGAAAAAAATACGGGCAATTATGTGAGCAATTTATGTTCAATAATGAAAAGCCTCACCTCGTTCAAAAGAGCACACAAACACTGGTGTGTTCTTCAGAGAGGTGTCACAAAATGAGGCAGCTCTTTTACGAGGCTTTGCTGGAGGTCTTGAATAATCATCCCAAGAAAAGTAAGGGGTGAACAAACAATGTTTCTTCGTTGCTAAAACTAGACGGATATTTGGCAGATTAATTATTTGACACCAGAAATGAAAAGTATGGCCCAGCTCTAAATGCAGGCCTCAACAGGTTCCTGGCTTGCCTCATTTTTTTCCTTCAAGGTTGTTCCTCTTTCTGGATGGACAGGCCTGGGAATTTCTTCAAGTTAAGATGTAGGCAAAAGAAACTCACGAGCAGAAATACAACTGGTTTTGTTGTATTTTGCTTTATGGGTTCTGGTGCCTGTGGTAAGAGAACATGCAGTACTGGACGAGTCCCTGCACTAAGAGTTTCCTGTGTCTATATGTATTTTTGTCAGAGAAGAAAGGTGTTTTAATCCCTTCATGGCTAAGAAATATTTCTTATGAAAGGCCTTACCAGCATCCCTTGCAGAAGGAAAAAAGACACTCACCAGACCCATTTCCTGAGTCAGTTCTGAGAGAACCATTCCTGTTACACAATGGTCCACAATGCCCTACGGGGGAAAAAGACAGGATTGCTCAAACATCAGGCTTTGTATTTGCCATTTTCCAGAATTACTAGAAGCAGATTGTATTTAATATTTTCCAACATTTCTAGAATGAAGAGGAATTGTTAGGCTGAGACTTCCTAAGATGTTTAGAAGGCTTTCATGCCAAATTCTGTCAACATTAATGGAAATAGACCTTCACATTTCCTAATTATCTCTGAAAAAACCCTCTCATCATAAATTTTAAGAATTGTCTGATAACAAAAATCCATCTGAAAACAGACTCCAAGGAATTGGAGTCTAGAAATTCACTCCTGCATTTTTCTCAGAGATCTCGGAGGTTTAGTATTCTAGCACTTGAAAGGGAAGCTGCATGAAATTCAAACCATTAGAAAAAATTAAGCTGTGCACAGATGAAAAAGATCAGAGGGCACGCTCAAAAATACACACTACCTATCAAAAAATCCATTCTCTTCCTTCCACAGTAGTTCAAAAAGCATTGGTTTGAACTGAATGATACATTCCATCATTGAGAACTTCTGTCTTAAAAGCAATGCAGGGGGTGTTCAATATTCCATGTGAGCATACAATTTCATCATCGGGGCTTAAGATCCTTGGAATGTTTTAAAATCAGATAGAATGCATAATTGTGCAATTAATTAACAACATTTAACTGTCTTCATTCAGCTATGCCAAAGCTTTTATAGAACAATTAAATCCGCTCCTTGTTGAAACAACTAAAACCAGCTGCCTCAAAATCAATTAGGCCTTGCCATTTAATCTGGGGAAGATCTCTGTGTACTTTCACAGCTGCAGTTTGCAGCCTCATCTCCCCTGGTGTCCAAAATACCAAGTCATACATGTCAATATTTTCCTGCTATTTGCTGCAATCACACTCCTTTTTACAACTCTGAAGATCACCCAGAGTTCAGCTAATGAAAAATCTGGGTATTTACCAAGGGGCCTGACTTTTCCCTCTCCTCTATTTTGTACTGTCACTTGCACCAAAGCACGTAAGGAGAAATAATTTAGGGGAGCTCTCAGGCAAAAGTTACATTGCTGCCCTATCTGCCTTTACATTTCACATTCTATGAACATTAGAATGTTCCTCAGATCACACAAACATGCAGAAAAAGAAAATGCACTCTTCCCTTCACTAGGTGTGAAACACTGTGTGCTGAATTATGAAGGGAGCTGGGAAAAGAAACTGCAGACCTGGCTGCTAATTCCTTTCCCAATATTAAATCACACTCAAATTCACACTGGATGAATCTCAATCCAGAATGTTAATGTATATGTATTTGAAACTACCATATGCTAATTATTACATATATTAGTATTGTCTAGGGATTATTTCTTCAGTTTTTATATAAAATTTAATTCACTAGATATATGGTTTAATTTTCTTTTCTGCAGAAATTCTTAATTTAACTAAAGATATGTCTTACGAAACTATATTTTGTATTTAAATCACTGTTTTTAATGAGCTGCACACTGAAGAGTCACACTGCAATCATTTTAATAATAAATGCAAACTCCAATTACAGTACATTCATAAAAATAACTGTAAAATCATGGAGAAGTGTACTTGAGTTCATTTTTAATAAACAGATTATTGCAACTTAGCTTTTATTGGACATTCCCAAAGTAATTCAAAAAGTACATTAACTTGAACAGTATTACAAACAAAGTAAGACTGAAAAGCAAATGAGAACCTCACTGGCAAGGAAAAAACCTGTTAACTTTGCACTTCCTTGCTGAGTTACCAGGATCACTAACACATGTGCACATCATGGATCATGCTGCAAGTAAATTGCCAAATAGCTTGAATTTTCCCATTGTTTCTCTTATCAGAAGGGGAGAAAGGCTTAACCTTCACACAGACATGTATCAGAAATGGATCAGGAGCTGAAGAAAAAGGGAAGCATTAAACACAATGACTTGACAACATGGGCTGCTATTTTACAGCCACACCATAAAGACCTCTCTGAAAAAGAAAACTAAGCAAAAGCCATGGCAGCACTGTGAACTCTGTGAGGAGTCAAACCCCACAGCCTCACACAGGCAGCACAACCACCCTGCTCCTTCCCATGGCACAATCTGTTCCGAGCAATGCACTTCACACTTTCCCACCCCAGTATGAAACCAAGGAACGCAACATGCCAATAACTATAAATGAAGAGGTCAAAAGAAAACCCCTAAAAAGAATAGAAGAAATGAACAATGTTTCGTACCACCAAACCTTTTTTTTTTTTAAACGTCAGCAATAATATCTTTGAAGATGAGCTGATTTTTCAGCACATCAAGCCATCCTAATTTTGCAATTTTAGAAATGATATTAATAGGAGCTTGATGACAAAAAGAACTAGTTTGGGTCAAGAAGCGACATAGTTCAGAATGTAACTTTTTGTAATGAAGTATTTTAAGATTAGCAACACAAGTTTTCTATAGAGAGTATGAGCTTAACAGTTCTAATGGAAACTTAAGCCATGGATTTTTTAAAAAAGAATTCATATGGTCAGCACAATAATTAACATTAAATCATTAAATAGAGGTAAATATTTAACAACACAAAGTACATTACATACACAGTCATTATTCTAGGACACGACAGCAGTTTTTGAATTCACAGAACACCAGCAGGTAAAACAGTAATAATTTGTTCTGCTCCCATACAGTGGGCACTGATTATTTCACTCTGGAACAGCAGCTCTACCAGCCAGCTGTATTCAAGTTTTTACAACCAAGTCTCTATGAATTTCCTCAATTCAATCTTCATCTTCCCACCAGGTAATGGACTTTGCAGTGGTAGAAATTCTGCTCTAACTACCTTCAGACACCTCCTTTGTTCAAACCCTTATAAACAGCTGAAAGGTGATTCCTAAGAAAACAATTGTGTCAACAGAGATGGTCTAGCATTCAAACAGGTGCTGGCTGCTTTAACTCATTTGGGAGTAGAAACAGACTCGAACAAGAAGTGGCATTTTTGATCACAAAGAACAGGAACTTTTTCCAAGGAACAGATTTACATCCTAATGGAAAACATTAGATATTTCCCTCCACCACACACTTGTGATATTCTCATAACACACAAGAATAAGCTGAACAAAATTCTGTGGGTATTCCAGTCCCACCTCTCTAGCTCCCTGAAGTCGCAGGCATCTCTCCTCGCAGCCTGTCAAAGTTCCAAGAACCAGAAAGGCTGGAGGCCCAGCCTGCAGCAGCCCACCAGGCAGGCAGCCATGGAGCCAAGCACACTGGAAACCAGGGAGGTTCCTAACTTTGCTGACTCAGAAAAATTCCCACAAACGTTTTGATTTTAAACAACACTTGCTGACTGAAAACACTCTATTAATAAAGTTCAACTAGCTCTGCCCAAGAGCAACTTGACAGGCATAACTCCTGAATTGTCACAGCTGAGGGGAAAAAAAAATGCAATTTAGTGGTCCTTTTACGTGGCGTGCCTTGTACCCAAGTATTCAAATAAACGCCCAAAATGACCTCTCTCACGCTGCCAGAGCCTTGCTGCCAGCAGTGGAGCAAAGCCCCAAGGGATGCCACATGCCTGACACCTCAGCGGGTGTCTCCCGAAGCCCTTTCCCACTCCCGCTTCCTTTCCCCGTCGATCGAGGCCGTTTCAGCGGCTGATGCTCATCTCGGACACGTTCTGCAGTGTCTGGTTTTCGGGGGAGAAGAGGCGCAGGAGCCCAGCGCTGCCTGCAGGGAGCAGCGGCTCGGACGAGCAGGTGCGGCTGCTTCCCCCCGGCAGCCGCCGTGATCCCAGCCGGGAGCGGGGAGAGGGGAGCGGGGAGAGGGGCGAGGGGAGCGGGGCGAGGGGAGCACGGGAGCTCCGTCAGTCCCGGCCCCGCGCACATCCCGGCCCCACGTGGGCCCCGCGCACATCCGGGCCCCAGGCGAGCCCCTCTCCCGCAGCACAGCCGGGGCCGCCGGCTCGGCTCCGCTGGCCCCGCCGCAGCCGCTCGGGCAGGGCGGCTCCCGGGCCCCTCCGGCCCCTCTGCCCGGCCGCCCTGCGCATCCCGCGGCCCCCGCCTGAGCGCAGCACCGCGGCCCCAGCACCGCCCTCCCTCCTCCCCCCGAGCTCCGGCCCGGCCCCACGCACGGCCCCGCACCGCCCCAGCCCCGGGCCCGCCGGGCGCACCCACCTGGACGCGCACCCATCCTGCCGGACCGCGCATCCTGCCGGGCGGGCCCTGCGGGGGCAGCGGCAGGGCCGGGACCGGCCGGGGCTGCGGGGCGGACCGGACCGGACCGGACCGGGGGCGGACACGGGCGGTGCCAGCTCCCCCCGGAGCGGCGCGGCGGGAGCCTCGCGATGATAAAGGGCCTGAGCAGGTGATGTTTCCCTGATGCTTTATTGACCACGTTGCAAAGATTCCCATGAGAAGCCCGGTAGTCCCAAAGAAGGGGCTCACACCGCTAGAATGATGCTGGAAATGGAAATTGCTTTAGCCCTGGAAGGAAAACATGAACTGGATGTATTTGCTGGATTCATCTTCAGCAGTGAGGTCGAGAAACAATTATTATGACAATTTAATCAGGATTGGAAGAGTGGTTTCTTTGTACATGAACTATCACAGTTGAATCACTGAACCATATGCTTTTATACAAAAAACCTTCATTAACTGTCTGAAGCAAAATTACCGAAATGGGGTTAATAAATAAATAAATAAATAGTTCAAGAGCAGAGTCTGTGGATAGCATATGTACCTAAGTGTGAGTGAGAGCTGGGCTTCCTGTAGGATGAGCCAATTTCCAGCTCGTCTGGAGGGTGTTTGCTCCTGGCCAGACACAGGAGTGGGTTTGTCCCCCTGGCTGGGTCTCCTGCCTGAGGTGACGGCTGGGCAAGGACAGAAGGGAGAGCCCAAAGCTGTTCCGCAGGGCAGGCAGGGAGCCCACGCTGTGTTCAGCTGCACAGGGCAGCCCTGGCACACGCTTTAACCATCGCTTGAATCATTTGTGGAACACAGACAATTGCCTTTCTATATCCGATTTCTGTCAGCTATATCCTGATTATTTTAAGGGGAAAAAATTGCTCCAGCTAAAGAATTAATGGATTCCTAGACTAATAGTTGACACACAACTTAAACACAGCAAGTACTAATATTAGATTGTGCGAGTACCCCAGCCTATGTCGGGGTCATGCCCAAAGGACCTTCTGCATCAAGCAGTGGAATTTCTTTAGCAACTTGTGTACAATTCTTTCACCTTCACAAGGGAGGGGGAAATGACATAGTGAAGATGCTTGTGTGACAGGAGGAAGCTGTGCTATGAACTTCAGACGTGCACGTCACAAAATCTAACAGTCTTCTGTGGAAGCTCAATTAAAGAAAGCTTCAGGTCTGCCTTGCAAAACACAGGACCAGGACTAATCCACCATTTTCAGCTCAAGCCTGGCTCATTTCCCACTGGTGGAATAAACTTCCCTTCTTGAACTTGCTGTTCCTTTGGGTTACATGAACAGATCTGTTGCTACAGGCAATGCATTACAATGAGATTCTAGTCTACTGCTTAGAGAGGACTGAACCTTCTCCATGCTTTTTAAAATTTAATAATAAATTGCTCGATTAAAGCATATACACAAAACCAGCCGTTTGTGTCCCCTCCTATAAAAAAAGAAACTAGAAATTGTTCAAGGTACCAGTGTTCCTTTGGTTTTTTGCATCACACTGATATTTTTCCTAAAATGCAGTTTTCTTACTGAAAGGAATGGCTGATAATTTACAAGAACTTATAAATTGTATTAAAAAATACATAGAGAGAGAAATGCAATGTATTTAATTTAGAATTCTTTGTTCTGAGACCCTTAGCTTTTCTTAAATAGACATACTTCATCAGGACAAACACTTGCAGGTATTTGCTGGAGTTCTGCTGCACATTTTCTCATTCAAACATTCTTTCTGTTTTTCATTTTCCATTAACAACAGCAAAAGGCCCTCAAGAATTCTAATTTCTTTTGATGGCTAATGATTTCAAGATTATTTTCTGTGCCATGTACTATATTATACCAATCTACATTGCCACCATTTAGTGATTACTTCAGTAATCTAATTCATTAATTTGCAATGCAGATCACAACTGATCTTGAGGATATGTTTGCATATTAAATAGTTCCATAAAAAGTAATCAGTAATTTCTATCAGATAATTCTATGTTAATATATAGTGGATAAGCAAAAAAAGTTATTAACATATCACAAGACCAGGAAGAGTCCATAAAACCAAAATCAATAGTTAAATATTAAGGAATATTTCTATTCCTAATTAAAACTAATTAATCTTTTTCAATAACACAATGACACACTTTCTTCTCATAAGCTGACAATACCCCATGAAGCCTGAAATGAGATAAATTATTCTTTGCTTGTTTGTTGGACGGAGGTCAATAATACCTCAGGGCAAACACTGTCTATAGCCAATTTCTTAAAGAATTTCAAATTGAAAAGAAAAATCTTTCTGATAGCAAAAAAAGGCAGAAATAGCACATTAAAGGAAGAATTTGCGAGGCATTGTGTATGCATTAAAAATTCTGCACAGGGTGCGTGCCCAGTGCCCTTAAAGGCTCCCTGTGCCGGTGAGTGCAGAGGGGGCAGCTCTGTGTGTGCAGGGCACGGCACGGGCTGCTCATGCCAGGGCTTCCCCTGCTCATGCCAGAGCTTCTGCTGCCTCAGTCCTGGATGTGCTCAGTCATTTACTGCTGTTCATCTGCCCTCAGCCAGTGGGAACCGGAGGTGTGAGAGCGGGGTTGGTGTTTTGCGTTACCCATTAACTCAGAGCCAGCCTTCATGAATTAGTTAACACAAGCAATCAGAGAAATTTCTCAGGGTGCTCACTCAGCCCTTGGAAGTGCTGTGCTTTTGACTCCAACTCCTTTGCTGTCTGGCTCATGGGTCAGTTGGAACAATGCTCACGTGTTCTGGTTTGCTGCTCCTTCAGCAGCCTGGCAGTGCTGATGGCTCAGGGATGGGGGTGACTTGTTCACAGCCCCAGACAAAGCACAGATCCTGGCTCCAGGGTGCAATCCCTCTGTGTTTGGAGGGCCTGCATGGAGCCACAGAGCAGCTGCTGCCTTTTAACTGCAGGAATTCCCACCGACCAGCATCCTGTTTGGGGGAAGATCGTGATCCCAAACCCTGAACTGCCCCAAGGGTGCTGGGAGGGAGACATTGCTGAGGGCAGCAATGCAGGAGCTGCCACAAAAAGGAGTCCAAAAGTGTGCTCAGAAGTTTGAATGCACAAGGAATCTTTTCTGGCTGGGTTTGAGTATTGACTGTAAGTCAGCACCTACTGCCTTTAGACCATGATTGCTTCACGTATCTATTAACAGTAAACAAAAACATCCCCCAAAAGACACATAATTCACCTTTGATGAGACACAGAAAATTTCATATGAGAAGGAAAATCCTGCTCAAACTTATGAGAAAACATGAACTAAGGAAATTAAAGACTGTTTTGCAACCTCCTTACTTAGGCTTGTTGCCATGTGAACAATCCCTTGATATTTCTTAGTACTTTACAGAAAAAAAGAAAATTGATAGAAAATAAAAATTTTGTTAAACTATTGGCATTTTTGCTGAACAAATTAGAATGTCTGAAAGAAATTAAAAGATAATTTAAAAATTAATATAAAATTTCATCCCTTTGGCATATTTCGTAGGAAGGTGCATGCTGAAGCATTTTATTTAATAGTCTAAATATATGGTGTTACAACTGTTCTTACTTCTGGTGAGTAGCACGATACACTTCATCCAGAGCTGCATTTCAGGAAGGTGGATACACAAGTAAGTATGTGTGTTATCAGAGGAGCCATTTACAGAACGGACACTACTGGTAAATATAAGAGTGTGAAAGGATTTGGACAAGAGATGTATAAAAATTATTATTCAGAATTGTTTTCATTATCGTAGTTCCCAGATTCATATTCTTCATCATCTTCCTCATCAGAGGTGTCATAATACTCCTCGTACTCAATGCTGTAGCTTGCACTTCTACTGCCAGCAGTGAATGCAAATGCAGGAGATGGGCCTGCAAGATGTAATTGAATCCAGATTAAATCAGCTGAAGATAGAAACACAGAGGAAGGATTTGTACAGCAAACCCAGATTTTCGGAATCCTTGTTATCTATGAAAAGGACTGGGGTTTTAGCCAATACCTCATACCACTGAAGGTCATGAGCAAATTTCTATATAGAATCATGGAATCCCAGAATAGATTGGTTTGAAATGGATCTTAGACCTCATCTTGTTCCACTCCCTGCCATGGGCAGGGACACTTCCTCTGTCCCAGGTTGCTCCAAGTCCCGTCCAACCTTGGACACTTCAGGGATGGGGCAGCCACAGCTCCTTTGAAAAACCTGTGTCAGCACTTCACCATGCTCTGAGTAAAGAATTTCTTCCTAACATCTAATCTAAATCTCTCCTATTTTAGTTTAAAACTATTCTCCCTTGTCCAGCCACTATCTGCCTGTATAAAAAGTCCCTCTCCCTCCTTCTGGTACTCCCCCTTTAGGGATTGGAAGGGCACTGGGAGCTCCCCAGAGCCTTCTCTTCCCCAGGCTTGACACCAGAGGCTTGTCTCGAGAGCAGAGGTGCTCCAGCACTTGGAGCATCTCCATGGCCTCCTCTGGGCCCACTCTAACAGGTCCATGTCTTCGCTCTGCTGAGGATATGTTGAAAATGCATTTAATTTCTAATACTAGTAAACTATGGTATCAGTCTTCTGCAGCTCCTGTGCTTCTGCAAATATTCCCAGAGAAAATAAAGCTTTGAAAGCCACTTATAGAAACTAGATGAGTGACAAACTCCCCTAGTCCAGGAGGTAAATATGACAATACATCTTTATCCTGAATTTGCCAGGAAAAACATTTCTCTATGGAGGAGGGCTGGGCCCAAAGCAAATCAATAGCAAAGCTATTTTTTACATCTTTTGAACCACTCTCATTAAGGAACAACAACTGTTTCCTTCCTAATTTTATGAAAAATAAACAGCTAAGCAAACCTGCCATGATTCAAAAACTCCCTCAGTTACCCCAGCTGTTGTTCTGGGTCCTGCTAACATCAAAGGACTTTTCTGGGAGAAGGACAGTGGAATAATGTGTCTCAGCTGTATGGCTCCAATCTACAGCTTTCTGTTTTCTGGAAGCCAGGATAATTTGCAGCAAAATATTACTATATAAACCATTAGGGGATAAAGTAAAATAAAAGCACACAGAAGAGTGAAAACATGGTCAGTTTTAGGTAATTTCTGCCATGCTTCATTTTCATTCCAACAACCCCATCCTTTGCATCCTGCTTGTATGCATTTTTATAATTTTACATCCAAATTTAAAAAAAAGATTACCATCAATGACTTTCAATCTTGCAGAGGCATATGTTGCACCATGCTTATTTTTGGTGTGGCAGATATAAATGCCTTCATCTGATTTTTTGAGGCCTTGAATCTGCAGCCAGCCTGTCACACCATACTTCTGAGGCCCACCTCTTGCCTTTGAGAAAAAAAAGAAATGGTTGAAATTAAGTAGCTAGGACACACCATGATGCTTCTCAAAATAATTGTGGATGGATTAAACATCATAACAACTTTTGCTTTTTTTTTTTTTTTTTAATGCCATCATGCTTTGATTCTGCTTATTCTTGCTGAACTGTGTTTTACCTTCTTTCTGCTGTGCACCTGTGAGTTCATGCTTTCCTGTCTCTGCTCTTGCACCTTCACTGCCCTGCACAGTGCTCTCATTCCTGCTCCCCTCCAGGCCACTCTTCCCAGTGCTGCCCCTTCCCTTGTCCCAGCACCACTTGCTGCTTCCCCAGAGCATCCCAGCTCTGCCCCAGCTCAGGGTGAGATGGGAATTGTTAGGGCCAGGGGGGCCTGACCAAACTGACACTCAGCAGCCAGGTTTTAAGGGCTGTCATGACATCCCATGGGCACCTTCACACTTCAGGACAGTTTCAGCTGGCTTGGAGTAAAGCCTCCTAAAGAGGCATAAGTGGTACCCTGGCTGTTCCTTCTGCTGGGATTGCCAAAGCACTGGCAGAAATCCTCATTCTTTGCACAGTCACAGGGCCCCTACTGGGAATCTATTTATTGCAAGTGTTGTGTTTTGTAGGAGGAATTCACAGATTAACCGCCCTGTTCCTGCTCCCAAACTGTATGCAAAGGTAAATTCAAGTTTTACCTGAACAGAGACGTGGGTATCATCTCCTGGCAGAAACATTTTATTCCCCTTTTTTTTCCATTCAAGCTGTGGCATAGGATATGCTGACACCTCACAGCCAAAAATTACATCATTGCCAGTGTAATTCTGGGCATCCTGAGGCGGCATAGAAATAACAGGAGCTGCAAAGAGCCAACAAGGTGCTTTAGGAGACAGTACACAAAGAACACAAAGAAAATTTTTGTTAATACTAATCTGTGCTTCACAGGCTGCCATCAGATTGTCTTTACCTTTTGGGTCTCACACACTGCAAAGAGCCACATGATTCCAAGCACCTTTTAAAGCTCAGAAAACCTTGTGTCTAAAAATGCTTATTCAGGTCTGTTTTCCCCCTTGCAGATGACAGTGGAACCCGAGGTGACATTGCGGGTTTATTTGGCCCCATGAGCTGTCAGTGTGGCCCAGGCTCAGCCCCCTCAGCAGAGCCACCAGTGCCTGACCTGGGCCTCAGAGGGAACCACAGGAAATTCGCAGCACATGAGGCACAGAGTGATTTGATTGTGTGACAGCTCTGAATGTGTCACATTTTGGTTAGCTGAAAGGCAAAACACTGCTATTGCTGGCGTTTTCTGCGTATATCATTGCCTTGAAGCTGCTAAACATTGTCAAGCACTGTTATCCATGGAAGTCACAAGTTACAACAGCGTTAATGAATATTACATTTATCCTCAATTGCTATTGATGTCATCCAATATTGGTGTTAGGAATGAAAAGGATTGAAATTCAATTATTTCTGTAAGATTTCATGCTATGCTTATTATACTTGTTACATTTCCACTTGCTTCCTCATGTTCTCGCACTGTCACCCCCTCCAGCGTTTATTGATTGCCTCGGAATTCTCCTTTTTCCCTTTTCCCGAAGCCAGAGCTGCCGGCAGCCACGAGAGGGAGCCAGCCCGGGCTCGGAGGCACCGGGACCTTCCTCGGTGCTGCCACCCCGATGGCGGCGCATCCATGCATCCATGCATCCATCATCCATCCATCATCCATCCATCCATCCATCCATGCATCCATCATCCATCCATCATCCATCCATCCATCCATCCATGCATCCATCATCCATCCATCATCCATCCATCCATGCATCCATCCATCCATCCATCCATCATCCATCCGTCCATCCATCCATCCATCCATCCATCATCCATGCATCCATCCATGCATCCATCCATCCATCCATCATCCATCCGTCCATGCATCCATCCATCCCTCTGTCCGTCCGTCCCTGCGCAGCTGGAGTGGCTGCTCCTCTCCCGTCCCAGCAGGGCACAGACCAAACTGTGGATGCGCTGTTAGCACAGAGTTCCTGAGCTGGAGATCTCTGCTTTTCCCCCCTGACCTATTTGTCCACAACAAGAAATATTTTGCCTTCTAAAACCTATTTTCTATTTCCAGACCAGTGCTCAAAAAAGAATGCATTTTCTGGGTGATTTGACTTGTGCCGGATATTTTTTTCCACACATCACAGATGCTTGGAAATAGAAACTTCAAGTAAATAATTAATATATTTTTACTTGCAGTGTTTGAATCAATACCTAGGTGCAGCATTTATTCTTCAGCATTTGAAACTTTAACAGCCTGTTCCATGTTTTCGACAATTTATAACAACAATTTCAACAATTTCTAACACATTTATCAGTTTTTAAGGATTAGTGCCTGTGCAGAAAAATATTAAATGCTTCCTGATTAAAATTAAGGGCAAAAAAAATATACAGAAAACTATCAATTTTCTCATTTATAAATGCCTCATTAAACAACCTTGCTACTCTTTAAAAGTAAGGTTTTTCAAACTAGGAAACTTAAATCCTTAAATGCTTGTTCTTTCATGAGAACTGCATATTCACAATCTATTGTTTCAAAAATCTTTATTCAAATCAGTATTAACTGAATATCTTGGATGAGAGTGCTTTTGCTTGGTTTTTTTTTCTTTTTGTTTTCCTATGAACTGATCACAGAGGCTCTGATATTAAAATATATTTTTAAATCTTAAAATTAATTGAAACCCCATTCATTTTAAAGATAGATCCACTGTAGTTAAGCCTAAAATGTACAAAAGAAACCAAAACTCTACACTGACTCACGGGAGTTTTTTAAATTGTTCCCACACAGAGACAGTGCAAAAAGCTTTTCAAACTTGATGCTGCCTCGTGAGTATTTTTGTTGTGCCGCCAACTCAGGTGTGCTGTGGATCCCTGCCAGCACTGAGGTGTGGCCAAGGGCTGGGTCCTGTCCCCGTCACCGTCCCCAGCCGTGGCTCAGCCACCCACGGGAGCACACCTGGAGTCTGGAGCACACAAAGGCCTGAGTTAGAAATCCTCATTGCAGCTGTCCAGCCCTGCCTGCCGTGCACTAGGACAATTCCACACTAGGAATGCTCCTCTTTCCATGAACTGTGAGGAGAACACAGCAGACAGCGGGGAAATGTCCAAGCTGGGTCCCAGTCCTGCAGCTGAGCCCAGGGCTGGCATCCTCTGAGACCAAGCTCAGTTCTGATCTGACCAAACTGAATGCTTTCAGTGCTTTCACTGCCCACCCAAACTTCAGAAATAAAATACTACAACCTCGCAATATCATTTCGCTGTGTTTTGTGGAAGAAAATTAAAGTAACATTCTACAATTTAAACAGAAGTTTATAAATTTTTTTGAGTGTTTCAGGTTTTGTGTCCTGGCAAATTCTCCCTTGATATCTGTGTGTATTTTGTTTGCATGACTGATTAGAAACAGAGCTGTACTGTTATGATAACGTGTCGTTTTGATTCCTGGAGTAGATAATTTTTTTTGATAGCTAAGGTAAGTGTTCTGGTGTCCTGGTGTCCAGAGCTGAATGGGCAGGAGCTGCTTCTTTCCTTTTACAGTCCCAGTCATTCATGAATTATCCCTCTGTGTTATAGAAGATGTAAACCAGAAGACAGGAAAGGTCAAAATACTGTTTTACCTTTCACAATCAACCTGACATCACTCCAGACCAATTAATCACATATTTAATAGAATATTTTTTATCATATTGTACATTATTAATTTTTGCTAATCTATGTCTGATTAGATGGAAATGGCAGAAATTTTTGTGTCTTGTTTATTCGTTTTTACTCCAAAATTTACATTGAAAATAAATCATGTGACACAGCTAAATATAAAGAGAATCACTGCTATGTTGTTCTGTTAGCATGAGAAATGTTTCAATGTGAATGGGGATGGTTTAAGTGTGGAGAATCTGTATATAATCTGTGTATATAATCAATGTACTTAGAAACCTTGGTAAATTATTGGATAAACTGATCAAAACTAGTTTTCAGGAAAAGAAAGATTTTTTCCATGTTTCTTTAGCGAGCTAGGCCTTTTTCTTCTCCTTTTTCTGGCAAGAGAAGAAAGATGAAAGGCTGTACTCCTCTGATGAAAGGAGTTTATTGTTATTTATTTATTCATTGGTTGCTGTATACAATTAGTCCATTTGGCATCAAGAGGAAACAGCAGATGCTTTGAAGGGGAGAAAAACAAAACAAAGTACTTTGAGCTGAGTGAAGGTTATATTTATAGCTTGGTACCAAAGCCCCACAGCGCTCAGTGTTTGTTCCGCATGCAAATCGCCCTCAGGACAGCCCGTGCTGCGGGGTTTGCCGCTCTCCGAGCCAGGCTCCGGCTGCCCCTTGTCACCAGCTGTCCCCGCAGCGGCGGGGCCGGAGCGCGGTGCCCTCGGGGCCGGGCCGGGCCGGGCCGGGCCGGGCCGGGCCGGGCCCCTCCGAACCCCTCCGAGCTCCCTCCGAACCCCTCCGAGCTCCCTCCGAACCCCTCCGAGCCATTCCGAGCCCCTCCGAACCCCTCCGAGCTCCCTCCGAACCCCTCCGAGCGCCTCCGAGCCCGCGGCAGCCCCTCTGAGCCCCTCCGAGCCCGCGGCAGCCTCTCTGAGCCCACTCCGAGTCCCGCCGAGCCCCTCCGAGCCCCGCCGAGCCCCGCCGAGCCCCGGGCTCCGGCCGGCTCTGAAGCTCCCGAGCCAGCGTGAGGGGCGGCAGCTCGGGGACAGGAGAAGGGCATTTGTGACCCTGGGCATTTGTGACCCTGGGCATTTGTGACCCCGGGCGCTGCCAGCCCAGCGCCCTGCCCAGCGCGGGCACGCTCCAGCCGGGCGCTTTCCTCCGCCACAGCCTCTTTAACTAAACCGCGCAGCAGTGACGCGGCTGTGAACTTTGCGCAGGCTTCTGTGCAATTCCAAAAGCTGAGCGGTGAGGATAATTCTCTGCATTCTGGAGAGAGGCTCCAGATTTTCCGGGGAGCCCGGGGAGCAGAGGGAAAGCGCTGGGGGTGATGCCTGCATGCAGAGCAGAGCAGCCAAGATCCCTCTCCTGCTGGAGGAGTAGCAGCGCGATGCGCCACGGGGGCGACGGGGGGCTGCTCGATGACACCAGCACTAAAAGTGGTAGCACTTCCAAATTAAAAAGTCTCTTGAACCGGGCCAGTTCTGTTAAATTAATTAGAGGGACCACTGCTTTAAGCCTGCGCGCTGAGCAGCTGCCGCTGCTGCAAAGTTACGGCACTCGCTAAGGGAGGCACGCTGCTGGCCGGAATCTTGCCGGAGGGGTTGTGCCACAAGAACTGCTGCTACCGAGTCCCAAACAGAGACTCCATCCCAACCTAACAGACTTGCAGTTGTACTGCAGGCTGGCATGCATGTCCCTTTCCTGACAAGCCTCATTTCCCACCTTAATACCCTGATAGCAAATAAAGGATTTTCTAATGGACCCATCTCTCTCAGCTAGAGAAAAAGGAAAGAAGCCTGATATTAATTGTTCATCACTTTTTCTAAGTAGTCAATATCCCTTGTTCATTCAATATAAAACCACAGCATACAGTCTAAGACTGCTAGAGAAGAGCGGGTGAAATACACCCGAGTTACTCCCAGTCCTTTGCCAGAGCTGCAATTTCAGATTCCTGGAGCTGTGACCCATTTGTGACCCACAGATCTCTTCTACTTCATTTGAGAAAATATTTTATTATCTTAAAACCCCACAGTAGTTTCTCATTTAGAAAAAAAAAAAAAAACCCTCTTCACATTTTCATTTTATAGTCAGGTCTTGAGTGATAGATGCCCAGGAGTCATGACTTGTAGTAATGCAAAGAAAGGGAACAGCATATGAGCAGGGAGCAGGAGTCCCCTGTATGCCCACCTAAGAATCCCTCCACAAACAAGGGACAGAGACAACAGTGCACTTTAAGAGTCCTTTAGGGAAATTGTTTCAGCTTGATTCTGTTCTGCTATTTGGATTTCTCTTTCATGGGTTAGCTAGATTTTACGATGATTCTGAATTGGACTATTTGGAGCTTTTTGGTAAAAAGAACAGAGCTGTTAATTAAACCCTATCTTCTTCTATTGCCCCTGCTTCACTGCTTACCATGTATCCTCACAGGTGGATACGCACATGCACCCATGTACCTGTGTGTGTATATGTATACACAGGAGATATATATATATATATATATATATATATATATATATATATATATATATAATGAGATCTGCTTTACTTTCACCACTTTAAGTCCTGTTACAATAATAATCATTTGCCAATTCCTCCCAGACTATCCTATCTGTTTACTGATTCTCAACTTCACATGCAACTTCTGTAGAAAAAAAAAATCATACTCTGATTATAGTAATCGTACTCTGATTATTCAGAACAGACCCACGTTGTAGATTGATGCCTTTTTAGCTACCACGAGATTTAATCCACTAGTGTAATTTAGAGGCTTATAAAAAACAAGATTTAGTACCAGATGCTGAAACACATTTTTAACACAAAGTAGCACTATCACAGAATAATGATAATTGTAACAAAACCACAGTATTAGTTTAATGAAGTTAGGCTAGAGTAGCTAATAACACGTCTGAAGACAAGAACCAGCTCTTTTTTTCAGTTTGGAAGTGCCGCTGTACGCATTACCTGATTCACATGGCCCTTTATGTTTCATGCTGATGTTTCTTTTCGCAGCATAAGCCTTGTTGAACTGACAGATGTTTTCATAGGTTTTCCCATCAGATCCACAGATGCTTTCTTGAGATTTGCAAACGCACTGGGGTTCAGGGACTTCCCCAAACCTTGCTTCATCAGCATCCAGCCTGCACTCGAGGTGATCCCCACACTGCCCATAGAAATGATTGCCGTGGTCCAAGTCGCACATCTGACCTTCCACGTTCCCACATTCCAGGCAGCAGCCGCAGCGATCCGGCACAGCCCCGGCTGGACAGTCCTTGGGCTCAGAGCAGAGTGCCAAATCACATTTTCCACAACTGTCTCCTTCCCTCAGCAGCCTCCACCAGCCTCGGTGGTACAAGGCAGGGAAACTCTGTGAAACCTGTACCAGTGCCACCAGCACTGCTGTAACCATCCGGTGCTTCATCTCGAGAGTGTAGCAAAAAGCAGAAAAGGTCCTTGGAGTAAAGCCAGGGAGAGGGAAAAAAAAAGCAAACCAAAAAAGAGCAAGCTAGTGAGAGAAAAACATCACAATCCTGGTTTTGTTTTAGAATATAAGCTGTACTCTGAACACTGGCTTTAAGAAAAAATTAGTATCAGATTCCTAATCTGGAACTGATAATAAAAAGGCATAAAAACCCAGCAGCTTTTCCCTAATGCAGTTTGGAATGCAAGTACTGCTTGCACAAAGACCAAACTGCCCCTTCTGACAGCTGAGCTGAAGCTCTCTGAAAAGCTGTTTGCTCCATGTCTCATTGAGCCAAATTTGCAAAGCCTAGCTCTAGTGAAACATTACATTGCAGCTATTGTGGAAAGGGGAGCAGGGACAAGGAGTGTGAAATCAAAAAAGTCACTGCTATGAGTGGCCCTCCCCTACATCAGGCAAAACAGATGTCCACAAAAAGATAAATATGTGTACAAAGTAGCACCCAAAACCCCAGTGCCCTGGGGCTTGGCCAGTACTCCAGAGACTAGAGCTTGGTGCAACACCAAATGTGATGCATTCCTGATCACAGCTAAGGGCTCTGAATTAACACTTTATTTACAGGCTCTATACAAGCAAGAGGCAATCCAAGTCAGCTGCAATTGACTTTGAGCTCTCACGTTTAAGACGAAAGATGCCTGTAATCATTAAAGGACCCATTGTTTGTCTCTCCATATATTTTCTGCTCGGTGTTTATGGGTGTCTGTGCTTTGCAACACAAAACAACGTGGTCCATGTTTGGCTCTAAGAACAATGACCACAGGCAAACTGAGCAAACTGCTGCAGCTTCAGAAGGAGATTCTGCTGAAGTATTAGATGCTGTGCTCATCTTTTCAAAGCACTTCTTTGCCTTAGTTTCTTAAGATGTGCTTACACTGCAGGTTATGAAGGAAGATGAAAGAGGTAGCTTGGATTTCTTTCCATGCTCTTCCTGTGTGTATATGGCTGCCAGTTCAGGGAGATGGCTTTGCAGGGTCATTTCTCACCAGGTGTTGTACTGTTCTTTTTCCATCTCAGGATTTAGATGTCCTCCCTATCTCCTGGCAGAAACCTCCCTTCCTTTGCCCTGCTGCTGAGATTGTTGCCCACAGAGTGCTGTTACCATTATTCAAACCACATGCAGCTCACCAGCAATTCATCTTCCTGGTTGTGGGGGTGGAAGTGAAGCATCGTGGACCTGCAGCCCTGCAAGCATGGCTCAATGCCATGGGTCAGAGATCACCACTACAAAGCAAATGTCTCTGGGTGCTAGCTTCAAATAATCCTATGTGCATCACAGTTTGAAGATAAACACATAAAACTAGGGCACTGTTAACAAGCTGAAATAAAAGAGAAGTCATGCTTGTGGCCTACTTAAAATCTTTCACAGGCAGCTTTTCCTCCTCTTTTTTCTTTGTTCATGGTGTGTAAGTCCTTCCGTCAGCTCAGTGAAGGATGCATTTTGTTGTATCAGCCTTGCATCCTCTGGCTGCATTCACAAAGGCAAATCTTTTGAGGTACATATTTACTTTTCATCCCATTTCCACAACTTTTCCTAAATTCAGCTCCCATACCTTCTGCACCGTTTGAGATTGCCTCTTCCTTTGAGTTAAGTAGCAAGCTGCTTCAAAATCACTTCCTTCTCCTGAACAGCACAAAATGCAATTTCCCCCAGCCTACACTGATCACACTTTTCAAAGCCAGCCTGGAGACACCTGCAGGGCACTGGGTTTTTCCTCTGATCACTGGGATAATTCATATTCTGGATGCGCAAGGTTTTGCTTTGAATTCTGAATCAGACTGTAAACAAGTAAATTATGTGTGTAATTGATGCTTTTAACATTGGGAGTCAGAAAAAAAAGTAACCTCAATTTAATGGGAAATTGATTATTTTGTCCAGTTTGATGTGTTTTATTTCACATTTCTTTATCAAGTCCTAATTGGACATTTAGTTTTGCATTATAGGGTCTAGCCATCATAGTCTATTTCATTATCTGTCTGTACAGCTTATGTTATAGATGTAGGGAGGAGTACCTATAGGACAAGGATTTGCTAAGGCTCATATGAAGTAAAGGAATGTCTATAGGGGTGAAGCCACATGTGCTAAGTGGAGCTAAAGCAGGATGGAGCTGCAGGCCAGCAACACCCCTGGCAGGGTGAGGTTGTCTGGCATCTCTCAGGAAACCTGGGATCTTAGTGCTGAAAAACAGTGAGTGTATTGCAAGGAAGCACCTCCTGGGAGCTGGCACAGAGAAAACCCATCACAGATATCCTAGAAAGCATTTTTGGCATTTACCTGACTCATGTAATCGGAATTCTTGGTGGGTTCAGCCTCTAAATTAAGAACTGGAAGTGCCTGCAGCATCGTTTAAACAGCTGCCACCTGGCAGATGATCTGCAGCTGAGGGTTACTAGGTCACAGATTCCTGAGATCACCTGGAACAAATTGAGGTTAAAGCACTGTGGTATGACATGGAGAAGTGGCCTGGCAAATCTCTGAATGTCTTTCATTATCAAGGCAGCTGTGACAAGCTGAGGAGAGCTTCCCACACTGGATGGGTGTGTGGCAGTCAGAGCAGAGGGGAGCAGGGACAGAGAGCAGGATGCACAGCTGGGTTTTCAGAGGCACATTAAAGGCATAATTCCATCTGCTTCAGGAATAAAATAAGCATTATTTCAGGATGTCTCTAATCCCTGCAGCTTGCTTTGGTAGGGAAAAGTGCTGCTTTTCAGCACAAACCTTGAATAAACCCTGAGTACATTCTAGAAGCAAACACAAGCAGCCGTGTATGAATGCCAGCACTGGAGCTGCAGGACAAGCAGCACTGTGCCCTGTGCTTCCAGGCTGGGCAAGGGCACTGGAGGCTCCCAGCCCCTGCAGGGATGGCAGCTGGCTGCCATCAGCTGGGAAATGACACCTTGGAGCATGGTGTCCTGAACAGGGACATGGAGCAGCATTCACGTGCCCTGGTCTCAGCAGGAAGGGCTGTGCTGGCTGTGCAGCAATTTCCCTGGCTCTTCCCCAGGATTTCCATTTGGGATGATCAGTGCAAGGAGTTCTGCCACCTTCCTGTGGAAACACAGGCTGGGTGATGGGCAGGGAGGGGACACGGCAAAGCAGCCCAGGGCTGTCTATGCTCAGCTTCTGATTTGTATTACATTGTTCTGCTTTGTATCATAATAAGTAAGGTATGTGGCTGATGCAATTTGAAATTCTGTTGCTGGTGATTTTTGAGGTACTGCTCCTCCAGTCAAAATATGGTTTGGCTCTTTATTCTGTTTTTATTTCTGTCAACATGAATTTTAAGTAAGTGAAGGTTTCTCAGTTCAGCTCCTGCCAGACTTGCAGATCTGGTTCCTACATAGGCACAGGAGTCCTGTAAGAAATAACAGCAAAATACAAAAATCTTCCACATATTCCTTCTACCTTCTCTGTCCTGCAATGGTTCCTCTCCTAAAACATTTGGAGTCAAGTTTAGAAACTAGAGTGCTCTGTCCCTTAGGCTGTACTAATTACCTATACTTGAGGCTCCTTAGAAATAGGAAATCTTGGCTGATTCCATGTGTTTCTATCCAAGGAATTTTATACTTGTATTATGTGCCCAAAATAAGCATTAAAGAATGTCCAGCCTGTTGTACTGGCTCAGAGCAGGCTTCAGGTGGCTGTGCCCAGTGGCTGCATCACCTGCTACTGTACCCATCTCCTGGGAAAACTTTCCCACCCATAGTATCCAGAACTGAGCTTCAGTCAAGGTGCTTAGCTCACCTGAGAGCAATGTTTAATTCTGTTGAAGTGGCAAATGGGCATGACTGATGCCATGTGCTGGCTCCTCCAGAAATGCAGACTGGGGCAGCCCTGGGATCTCCAGACAGGGCCTTTTCTGGGGCCAGTCCAATGTGCTGACACTGCTTTCATCTCATCATTAGTACTGTAAGCACATGAACTATAAGTTAATCCTACTGTAACATGATTATTAAATCCATTAATCAAAGGCAGGAGATCCATAATTAACTTATTCTCCAGCATCAAGTAAATAATTCTGCTATGAGCTTTAAGGAAGCAATTGTTCCCTAATATGCAAAATACAGTGGAGCTATTAGACTATAATTGTAAAATTAAATTATAATTTTTGCATATTTGAATAAGATGTTAATTATTTTCTTTGTAGCTTAAAATGTAGGTTCATTTTTTTAGGGTTTAACATATAATTAAAAAAAACCCCAAAATCAATGTTTGTCCCCTACCTGTAAGCTGACCTTTCCATGAAAGGCTTTGACCAGACTTTTGATGACTCACCTTGCACCTGTCTCCAACAGTGGCTCACTGTAGATTTCTCCTGTTATGTATTTCAGCATATTCATTATTGGTCACTGCAGACAAATTTTACCTTAAAAAGATGAAAGAAGTGCCTGATAGCACTGTGCTGGTACCAGCTGCTGGGTTTGTTTCAATACAGGCCTACTGACTCATCTTCCTACAAGTTCTTTCTTTCCAAGGGGCCAGATATATCAAGGGTTCTTTTCAAGCTTGTTCAATGTCTCTTCTGTCCTTTAAGTAGACTAAATTTCTGAAAACTCTGCAGCCTTATCCAGAAACGCCTGAGCCTCCCATCCCAGAACGAAAGGTGATGCTGGAAACACCAGCAGCTGGTAATCAAGCATTTCCCTGAAGTCATCCTCTTGAGAAGTGAGAGTTGCAGCAAGGAGACTTTCACAGAAAATACCAGGAGGACATTTCACACATATGCCCTGCCCGCATTTCTAACCTGGCAAATTTAGCCTGCTCCTCTTCACCCCTATTCTGTACCCTTCCACCACATATTGCTGTATAGAAGCAAAAGCCATCATCGTTCCTCCTCCTGTTGAGAGGAAGCCATGAACTTTTGTCCACCTTCTGCCTTTGTTTTGGGAATGCTTTTCTGCTCCATGGGGTGTTGGGCTGGAGACAGACACACGGCACAACACACTGATCAAGATCAGCAAACAGCAGTGAGTTTCTTATGGCTGCCCTTTTCATGGGGCTTTGAATCTTGCAGGCCCGGATGGCTGATTGGATGAGACCTCTCTCTGGCCATGGGGCATCTGCATGGAAGTGTGAGCAGGGCTGGGTGAGGTCTCTGTTGCCTCTTTTCTAGAATGAGCTAGGTCAGCCAAATTGGATCTGTTATGGCCAGATTTATCTTGTTCAGTTACAGACCAGCTGAACTGCGACACTTTTCCATTAGCCCTCTATTTTGCACAGACCACAGTACTTTCAGGTGGCATGTTTTACTGCAGTTTTATGCAGGGTGAAGCAATTTGTGTGTCAAAGGCATTTGCTGTGTACATCACCAGTGACATGAGAGTGCTACCAGATACAGCAGGGCTTGGGGAAAACACATCAGACCTTGGCCCACAAATCCAGAGGATAAAAGAGCAACACAAGAAAGAATCTTGCACACGCTGCCAGCTACAAGCAGCAGGACAGAAATGGGATAGTGGACTGGGGGTCTGCAGGCAGTGGGCAGCAAAGGGTGGGAAATACAGGTAGGGCTCCGGGTGGCATCCACTTACCTCTGCCACCAGGGTGTGGCTGGCATGAAAGTGTCCAGCAACATCCATGTGTGCCCCTCGCTATTCTCAGTCCCTTCTGGGTTCAACATGCAGTAGGATGTTGGAAAACTGGCCTGGCTCCTGCTGCAACAAATGTGCTCTGAGCATTTGGAGAGGGGCTGGAAGAAAACAAAATAGAAAACCCTGACACGGTTCTGACTTCAACAGCGTTCCAAGGGGCTTTTGGCAGCAGTCTGAGCAGCAGTGTCATCTCTGGCTGCTGTGGGCGCCCGTCCATCCCTCTCCTGCACAGGCAGAGATAGGAGGAACACGAGGAGGCTGAAGCTCAAAGTTGGCACTGGTGCTGCTACCAGCAAAGTTCTTCAGGGTGGCAACCACAGTGTTTCCTGGGAAATCTAATGGAAAGGGAGATCTCCAAATTTGCCATGAATACAGAGTAATTCTTATTGCCAACTTAATGCTGATGGATAGGACAGTTTGCCTTTTCCAGTTTATATAAGAGCAGCTGATATAATATTACTTCATAGCTGGATATTTGTGAGAAGTTTAATTTCAAATAATGTAGGTTTTGCCTCTAGTTGTGCTGCAGTTTAGCCTATTGTTACTGGGAACTAAATATTTAGGATATTCCAGCTATACAGTTCCAGGCCCTGGAACTGTAGGGCCTGTCTGTCTACAGAGCAAAGTTAATATTTTCCAAAGCAAAGGAAACTTTATAATGCAAAGTCACATTAGCAAAAACTACCTGTCCCTAAAACCAGCCAGGAAATCAGGCACAGAGAGGAAATTTGGGGGATGTTCCTTCAGATGCTTCTGCTTTCTCTCACAGCAGTACTGAGTCTTCTCCATGACAGTGAATGCAGAGATATTCTATCTTGGTCTTCCTCTGGGAAAGCAACCAGAATCCAAGCTGTGATATAAGCAACATTCTCTCACCTTGTCTCTGCTGCACATGGATCTTGCATAAACTACTCCTGTCTCTTGAGGGAAATAGGATTCACCCCTGGTGCCAGCAAAGTCATAACAAAAGCTGTGGCAAATGAAAGCAAGCCCTGAGAGCAGCCACCTGCTGAAATCAGGAATTGTTCAGGTTGGAGAAGGCCTTTCTGGGAAAGGGTCTGTGGCATATGCCATGTGAGGAGCAGCTGAGGGGGCTGGGAAGGGGCTGGAGCCCCAGGAGGGGCTGAGGGAGCTGGGCAGGGGCTCAGCCTGGAGCAAAGGAGGCTCAGGGGGCCCTTGTGGCTCTGCACAGCTCCTGACAGGAGGGGACAGCCGGGGGGGTCGGGCTGTGCTCCAGGAACAGGGACAGGAGCAGAGGGAACGGCCTCAGGCTGGGCCAGGGCAGGCTCAGGGTGGATTTTATGGAAAATTTCTTCACGGAAAGGTGGTGGCATTGGAACAGACTGCCCAGGGCAGGGGTGGAGTACCCATCCCTGGAGGGATTTAAAAGCCATATGGATGTGGCACTTAGGAACAGGGGCTAGTGGTGGCCTTGGCAGGGCTGGGGGAACAGCTGGACTTGATCATCTTGGAGGGCTTTGTACAATGAAATTCCTTTTGTTAACATCAATATTTGGTGACTAGTGTAAAACACATAAGGACATTTTAGTTGGGTTTTAAAGAAAGAAACCAACAGAGAGAGAAGAGATGATTTTTTTTTTTGGTAGAGAATCTCTCTGAGGGGTTGTGTTCATATCACAAACATTCACTTTATTACATTTTATGGAATGGACTTCAAATGCCAGTATATACAAGCCAACACTTCATTATTGGAGTTTGTGTTTATCCACTTGCCATTGTCAGCCTGTTCCCCTCTGTCTTCTTGCGCTGCTCTTTGTTAAAGTGATGATTTATGAATATGTGGGTTAGACCTCTCAAAGTACAGTGTGGTGAAGTGGTTCAATAAAAAGTTATTAAAGTAAAAAAAATCTATAGTCTCATGTGCTCTGTTCACCTTCTCTAGGAACCCCCAAGAAGAGATCCTTAAGCTAAGCAAACACTGCATGCTGAGGCTCTAACACAAGCTACAAACTGAGAGGCCTCCCCCAGCCAGAGCTCTGCTGAGTGGAGCCACTGCAGGCAGTCCCAACTCTGCCCACAGACCTGCAGCATTGCCCCCTCTCAGGGATGAAAGCAGCACAGACCAAAAAAGGCTGCCAGGTGGGGGAGTCTGCCATAAAACGTTCATTTTACAAACAGCAAATAAAGACTTCCAGTATTCTTAAGCTACACAGTACCAAATAGCATTTGGTTTTTTAATGTAACTGTGTGGCCGCATTTCATTTATCTTTAAAAGAAAACTTTGGCTTCTGCTGATTGCAGGATAAATAAAGCTGACTTCAGGTAGTTTCCAGAGCCCGCATAGAATATGATTTTTCTCAAAAAAGTAACAGTGTTTCAGCCTAAAAGTGAAAGTGAGAGAGTGAAAGGGTGATTTAGACTAGCCTGCCCCAAACCCATGCACGTTCCACACCCAGCAGCACTGCTGGCTTGCCACAGCTGCACAGCCATGTAAAGGAGGGGATGACAAATGGCTGCTTGTGCCTGTGGCTGCCAATGAGTGAGAGCTGCTTGCAGCAGTGAAGGCCGAAGGAAGCATTCTCCAGGACAGAAAATAATTTGTGAGGAAGACATGGAAAGTGGTAGAATCTGTTCATGTGCAGTGCAGCAGGAAGAGTATAAGAGATGGGTTTCAAAATTATTTTGTTGCCTCTATTTCATGTTCCCAAATCTCTGAAAGAGTGCAGCTCAACAAACAACAACCTTCCATCTGTCTCAGGGATGGAGAACTTCAGCAAGTGAGGGTTACCTCAGTGGGTTACAGGCTAAAAGCAGTGAGGCACCACTGTGCAGTACTGAATCACCATCCTGGCCCTGCACCACCCAGGACAAAGCAGCACCATGCACAGAAGCATCCCACTGTGCTGCACTGCACTGAGCTCCTGCTGCTGCCTCAGGGCTCTCACTGCAACAGAGCAGCTATTGAGGAGGCAATCACAGTCCCTCTGTTCTCTCTGGCAAACAAAGAAAAACAGTCATGATCCTATTCATCCTCTGGGACATCTCATCTTGAAGGTTCCAACCTGCTCCAAGCTACCAAAATAATTCTGCCACCTGTAGTGCTCTGCACTGCCAGTGCAGTCCTGCACACCCATCTCCAGCCAGGTGAGGTGTGGTCTGAAATGCAGCTGTGAGCAGAAGAGCCCAGCACAGCCACAGCTGAAGAGCTGCTGTCAGAGTCAGTGCTGCTGATGCATGCACACCTCACACACTTCTGCTGGGTACCTCAGGAAACACAAAGAAGCTTTTTGTCCACATTGAATTTACTGAGGTTAGGTACCCGGATGCCCACTGGCACGATTCCTTTCCTGCTGAAGTAGGAGAATGAAGCAACTAATTTCTACTAAAAATATAGATAATAAGCCCAGTAAAACACATTGACCACCATGAAAAACAAAGGGAAAAGCAATCTGGAGTAGTGGTCCACATTGCCAGGGTTCTGAATTGTGAAATAACCAATGATCCTGTGCATTTTGTTCCTCAAGACACATTTGATTTTCTCATGATTTTTCATGGTCAAGTCACTGCAGTTAACATTATCACTGGAAATCTCAATGCTTGTGAAGCTGATTTTTTGTTTATAGCTGGTGATGGAATTTTTGAGGATGTTGGTGATGTTAACTTCTTCCATTTCTTCAGTCACTTCATTTGCAGGCCCCTAGGAAACAAGAGTGGACAGTTTTAAGGTCCGTCTTCTCCTGCAGAGGAGGAAGACCATAAGGATAAAGACATAAGAATACAGCTTCATATGTGGTCAACCCAATACTCAAACACAACCTTCAGCTGCTGCCTAATCCTAGGAGGGCCTGAGGTCCAAGGGATGCCTGTTTCCACCACTGTATTTATTTCTAGAGATATTTTCAGATCCTTGAGCAAGTTTTACTCTGGGTAATCCAACATCCATCTCCTACAGGATATCCATCTCTTCCTGTCTACACAGTAGCTTAATGGCCGGGAACTCAGTATTGCAGTGGGAAACCTCCTTTCTCCTAACAGGATTTGGGCCCTTGATGACAACTGGACTACAGTCATACCTGATTATTTAATTTCTCACACTAAAGTTGGGCCCTTGAACAACTCACTCTCACAGTCCCCACGGAACACTGTGGGACAGATGTTTGGAAGCGTCTTCTGGGAAAGGAGGAAGAAGGGTTCAGTTTTCCTCTGGCAGAGGGAAGTACCTCCCTTATTGGAGTTATTTGATAGAGAGTGAAGAGTTGTGTTACACTGGCTCTTCTCTGAGTGCATTTGAAAGGAGCAGTGATGCTTCCTGCTCACCTGAGCTCAGCTCAGGGCTGTGGACCCAATCCAGTGCCTGGCCCAAGGGCCTTTCTGGACGTGATCCTGTGAGCCCAACAGGACTGCCAGCTAAGGCTGCTGCTCACAAGTCTGCCAGAGACACAGCATTCCTGTGCTATTCATGTATTTGTTACACACAAAAGTTTAGATTTAGTGCCCATTAGGAGAAGCATTGCTGATGTATCCATAGCAAGAAGACCTCGTGTCTTGTTCACTGAATGGAGAACTAATTGTTGCCAGTCCAAGACCACTGGCCTCATTAAGGTACCTTGGGCCTTACCTCTTTTGGTACTTTAGCTGCACATTTCTGTGAGGAGCTGTAGTGAGCCACTGCATATTCCACAAGGGCACCAAAGATGAAGCTGAAGCAGATGCCAAGATAAACGTCAATGGCCTTAATGAAACAGTTGGTTTTTGAAAGTGAACTTCGTGAGCCGATCATCAGAGTTGTCATAGAAAGCACTGTTGTAACTCCTTGGAAACAGAGAGACACTTTTCTTGTGGACACTTTGAAGAAGTCTTGGCCTACCCTTCTGTTCATGTCATTGCTCTCCTTTCCTGGCCAGTTAAAGCACATCACTTCTTACCAAATCCAAATCATCCATCATAGCAACTGAAATAGTAGCATTCACTAGCTTCACACAGGCTCTCCCTGCCTTTGGGAGCTTGGCTCCAACAGGCAGTTGGCTCTCTTGTTTTTCATGCTTTCAGTAAAGAAATCCCTCCATCCTGCTTTCTCCAGAGCACACCACCTGTGCCCTGTCCTCTACTCTGCAATGGATCTCCTGAGAGCTTCAGCCACACGCAGCCCTGCAGGTGGGCACGTGTCCCTGCCACAGCATCTCCTCCACACCAACCCAGCTCTGCCCCAAAGAGCAGCAGAGGCTAGCAGACCATTTATCCCTGAGCAGGTAGCTCAAGAAAAGTGCCATCTACCCAGCCTTCAAAGGCTCCTCTGTCTACTTAAACCTTCTCCCTTCTTCAGGCAAGAACTCACCAATGCAGGTTCTTGCAGGCACTGAGTCCAGTGTGATCCAAAAAGAAACCCAGGACAACATGACAAGCAGAGTGGAGGGCACATAGGTCTCCAATATGAAGTAAAGGACATTTCTTCTCAGTTCAAACTGTAATATCAGTCGTGGGTAACTGCCTGTTTATGAAAGAACAGACTTGGTGAATGTGAGGTTCCCAAGGACCCCCAAAGTAAAACTGGGACAGCCCAGCTGATGGAGCTCAGCAGAGCTTATGCAGGTAACACACCTGACACGGGAGGACACACACAGCACTGACAAAGAGGCATCTGAACAACCCTATCTGAACAGCAGATGCCTTGCCAAGGGTTCCTGCCCCTGAGCATGACAGGAATGTCACAGCAGGGCCTCAGCTCCCAGCAGAGCAGGGCTGATGATCTCACCTGCCCTTTCACACCCAGCACAGCACCTTCCCCAACACCTGCTCTGAAGGGCACTGCCAGGCTCAGCCTTACCTGATGGCTGAAAAACAGACAAAACATTGTCTCTTGATGTCAGCAGGCTCGGGCTCACATCCCAAAGCACCCCTGTGCCTTATCATCACAGAGAATCAGACTCACATTTTCATTAGTGATTTGTGATAATGGTATATTTTTGAGCTCTCAATCTTTTAAAAACCAATTTGTTGTAAATACTGACATAGGGGTTCTGAGGCTGGAACAGTACTGTTTTCAGGATGTATTTCTGTTCTATAAACAACAACCCCCTTTGAAGTGTAGAAACAAAGTCCATGTTGTTCATGGCTGTGTATGCAACAAAACAACAAAACACTGTTATTTTTAAAACCGTGTCATTCTAAGGAAGTCTTGCCCCCTTTCATACTATCTGTAATTGGAGAAAAGAGTATTTTACACTGATAATGAAAAAGACATCAAATTCTGATCTACAAAAATATGTTATTCCATCGTGATAGAATTGTAATTTACAAACAAATGTATATTTTAACAATTAATTTTACTCCTAGCTACTGTAAACATTGCTTTCCACAGTACCTATACACTGCATACCTGGATAGAAGGGATAGAGTTTCTTCAGGTATGTGTGGAGGAAAATAGGAAGAAGGAAAAAAATAAATTAAAATCCATCAAATGAATACAGTATATTTTAAACTTCCGCCTTTCTGTGGATTTCCATCTTACAGAATATCCTGACTGCAGCTAATAGGATGACACCACCTTTCAGTTCATCTCTTTTTGTGAGATTAAAATCTGCTAAAGGCTTTATTGGTTCAGGACTGAGTCAAACGATCCTGGCCCACAGAAGGAGAGGAGATGGGAGGGGGAATACCCAAGAGCTTTCAGTGCTTTTTGCTCTCCCACCTTTACCTGTCTCCTGCTGTGACCTGGAGACCAGGGTGTGGTAGCGCTGCACCGTGTACTGGGAGAGCCGCAGCTTCTCCAGGCCGTGCACGGAGCTGTTCCCCCTCAGCCAGGTGAAGGTGACATCGTTCTCATCGTAGCCCCCTGAGGAGAACACAGACGCTGTGTGACTGCTGAGGCCAGGAGAGCCCAGCTGTGCCCTGCCCTGCCTCCTGTGGGGAGCAGAGCCCTGATCCTGGCACTGCGCACTGGACAGAGGCCCCTGAGCTGTGTCTGACCACGCGGGGACATCGGCTGGGCCTCCTTCACTGCCCTTGGTCTGCTGCTCCACATGTGGACAGCAACACACCCCTCTGGGAATGACACACAACGTGCAAGGCTGCTCAGAGCCTGCTGCAGTTGTTTACATGGGCTGTTCATGTTTTCAAAAATAATCCATTGCTGTCATACACAGCTTGATTACATACAATGGGACATTAGTACTGCCGTGGTTAACCCTCAAACACAGACACTCTCTCTCTGGTGTCTGAGAGGAGAACAGGAGAAACACAGTGGTTAAGAAAGAGAATTCAGATCTCACTGAGCCCCTTACCACAGAGCAGAAGCACATTTCACTGAGTCATCTATTCAAGTGCTTCAAAACATCAGAAAATGCATTTTCAGTCAGTCAGGAGCTTACAGCTGAGACTGCTCTGTGGTTATGAACCAGGCTCCTCTGACTGGGTACACATTGTCCAGGAAACCTGCTCATAAAACCAACCTTTTCTACACATCATTCCTCATATCCTCATAGGCATTAAGTTACTGAGGACAAATAAATGCACACAACATTTAGGTAACACCAAATTCCTGCCTCAAAGCAGTGGGACTCCATATATGCAATCTGAGTGTGTACCTCCAGGGATGACATAACCTCACGTTAGACTGAGGGATACCTCAGTCTGAGGGGTAAATCTTGTACTGAGTTGCCAGCCTGCCATTCCCTTCAAAAATTTGACTTAATTTAGGAAACAAGTCCATCAGTTCCACTGATTTAATTCTTTTATTAAGAGCCCTTCTTTGAGACCATGAGTAGGGACACTGTGATTCTGATAATAAACCATTTGTCCTGGTAGAAGGAATCAGATGAAGTTGCAGCTCTATTTACATCTAATTGTGTTTTCTTATTAGACACAAATTACCAGAGCTTGGGCGTGATGAACTCCTAAATTAGGTGTCCAGAGCATGAATCCCTGAGTAGCATCCTAAGCATGTGACTTTTCAAAGTTCCTAAGTGGTTTTATAAATCGTGGTTAATCAGGAAAATTTTATAAGTGATAGATTGTTGTTAATTCATCTGGCATATATTTAAATAGCATTATTTCTGGGCACTTATCCTAATGAAATCTCCAGTGGGCAATATGTATGTAATTTCATTGGAATTATACAGCAACTGAGCATGATGTAGGACCCAATCAGTTTTAAACCAGGACTAAACATGCTCCACTTTAGCAGAAGAGGCCAATCATTATTATTTCAGCAGCTATTCCTTGTAATAAAGTTAACCGTGGTGAACTAATATGATTTTAATGTGAAAATAATATGTTCTTCCCTAGATGCTTTATGCTGCAACCCCAGAAGTTAAAAATCTGGTCTTTTCCATGCTGAGATGGTGGAAGTTTGGTTTTGTGTCGTGCAGCAGGAGCTGCATGCTCATCACAGGTCTGGAGCAGCAGCACTGCACTGGCTGAGCTTTGGGACAGCAACCCTGCAGTGGCACACATTGCCTTGGAGTCTTTCTCAGCCAGCATTGCCTTAGGTGAGCTTGTAATCTGAGAGCAGAACTCTCTGATAATTCCTCTTCTTGAGATTTCTCAGTCTGACACTCTTCTGTTGACAAGGGTCCCATCCTCTGTATCCCCTCCCTAGTGGGGGGCAGGTATCACAGACCTGGGTTTGGCCCTGATTTCAGCTCAGGAGTTTGAGAGCCACATTCAACTCTAATTCTAGTGAGAACCACCCTTCCCCATGCCCTTTTACAGTGGGGATTTCGGGGCTGCAACAGGTATTAGCTACCTAAAGATGTGAGAATTTTTCCTTCTTGTACTCTGTCACAGGCACTTACCTTGCAAGTTAGTTTGGAAGAAGCTGTGTGTTCAAAAGAATCTGAATTTTGAAAACCAGCCAACATTACTTCATCCTTTCTGTGCAAGATTTAATTATCCACACTTTAATAAATATTCTTTATTACCACTTTTTTTGCATAGATTGCACAGTGACAGGAATTTTCCGGGCTGTGGATCACAACATAAACTTTTGAAGAAAGATGACACAGAAGTTGTTTTCTTTTGGACATTATAATTTGCAGGAACAAAACTCTACTCCAGAGAGCCACCGTGCTTAATCCAAATATTCAAGATGTGTAGTTACTTATGAATAAAAAAATTTAGAGTTTTCTAGAACATTGTACTTACAGCTTTCTAGCTGCAGCCGGCATGTTTGGGTGTCCATAGGGTATTTTGACAGGTCCATGTTACAGGCAACAGTAGTAGTGATTCTGTAGGGAGACAAAGAATCTGAAAATTGCAATAAAAGCATGTTTTACACAGCAAACTGGATCACAAAGCTCTGCTCTGTCAGTTAGATTATTTGGACCTATATATGAAGAGAACCCTCAAGAACAATCACTGAGAACCCTGAACAATTAACTGAGAACCCTCAAGAACAATCGCTCTCTGCAGCCACCCCAATGAAAATGTAGCCCAAGGAGGAATTTTGCTTTGATCTGGTGGGATATAGAGTGCAGAGTCACATTTTTTTCCCCATTGCTACAATTTGCTCATCTTAAGGAGTCAGTACTTGTGACTTGAGGTGCAGTGACTAACTGCACACGTACTCTGCCTTTCTCTGATGTGGAGGGAGGTGAGTTTTGCTCTGCAGATGAGGTAACTGGGACTCAGTTAATGCAAGCTAAGGAGAGCACTGTAGGAATTGCTAACTCAAGTGCTGGGTGCCTTCCTGCAGTTCATGGACAAATACACTTCTTGGTAAAAAACCAGAAGTCATCACTGGAAAAGCAAATGGTTTCCCACTATCAGTTGAACTTTAACTTTGTGATGTCCTACTTCCATTCCTCCCGTGCCCCCATCTGGCTGGATTTTTCCTCAGTGACACCTAAACTCATGAGCTTTCTGAGCAGGCCTCAGGATACAGCATATACCGTGATGGGAGACCCTGATCCTTGACTGGCATTTCTGGAAGCCAGAACAGGGGGAAATGCATCAGCAGAGAATGCTCACAGCTGACTTGTTGACCCCAAACCCATGACCTGTGACAGCTGGTACCTGCTCCTGTCCAGGGCAATTCTGGAAATCTATTCTAAGCCAGCAGCAGCAAAACTGGAGGTCTCTGTACCTTAAGGCATACAAGACAGTGCCATTAGAGAACAGCCTGACGAGGCGGTTGCCCACGGTGACGTCGTGCAGGAAAGACCTTTTTGACTCCACAATGTAGGTGTCTGGCACCCAGAGCAGCTCCACCAGGCGAGCATCCAGCGTGAAGCTCCTGTTGCCGTGGAAGACCAGCCGTGGGTCCGTCCAGTGCTGCCGCAGGGAGATGGTGGCTGTGAAATCCTGCGGAACAGAGCAGAGCCTGGCACGTGTGTCCAGGCACCTGCACAGCACAGCTGGACACACCAGTGTGTGACAGGGCACAGAACACATCCTTATTCAACCTAGCACAGCCAGGCTTCAAGCTTCACTTTTGTCACAGTTTCATTCACTCTGTAATATTTCTAATACATTTCCACTCTAAGGTGTGGAACTTGAGGACTAAAGATTATAATTACAGTACTTTATGTTTTTAATGGGCAGTTTTTATAACTGATGCCTTTGTGCCCATTTTGCAGAGAACAGATAGGAAGCACACACTTGAGGCCACGCCACAAGCCATTGACATTACAGATCAGTCATTGCCTAGAGCTAGGAAACTCCACACGTACTATAAATCTGGTCATCAAGGCACTTTGGGGAAAAAAGGAAAGTGAATCCAACCTGTTATGTCAGGGACATCTTAAAAACACCCGAAACAAGTCAAAAAAGAAAACTTGTGTCTTCTATTTTAATAGGAATTTTGAATCTAAGAACACTGGGATTAACTTGAGTCTGGCCTGCCCCCGAGCAGCACCACTTGGCTCTGAAGCTGATGCTTTGCTGAGCCTTCTGGACACCACTGGCACTGCTGGACTATTCAACTTCCTTCTCACAAGGGATGCCACACAGGATTGATTTTTTCTATTTCCATGGGGTCTGATTTCCAGAAGGTGCTGAGTTTTTGACCAGTAGGACTTTTGGAACCACTTCTTTTTTCTTGTAAGCTCACATTACTATGGCATCTACACAGTTGTCTTAGGGTGATGTTAAGATGTTTGTATTCCTAATTGTCTGCTCTGTTTATGCTGGATATTAAGTTCTGCACCTTTAAAACTGCTTCTGAAAGTGAAGCAGGGGAAAAGAAGTGTGCAGTTTGTTTTCAGAAACTGCACTTGCTCCCCCACATTCCTTCTCACAGACTGTGCTGTCTGCAGCACAGACAGTGGGACAGAGCTCTCCTTTGCTTTTAGTTAGTTTTTAGCTAGCAGAGGCAGAGAAGTTCCCTGAACTGTGTTTTTCATTCTTTTTCTTGGAACTGTTTGAACCCGCTCTAGACTGAAAACCCAGAAAAACACCAGGAGCTCATGCCTGTGGCCCACTGGATCCAGGACACGGCATTCCAGCATGGGAGGGACTGATAACAGACTGATGAGCCAAGCTACAGCCCATGAAAAGGACTTTCTGAATTTGCCATCTCTTCAGAACAACAAGAGGTTTTATTGTTTAATATTATTATTTTTTAATGCTTGTGTATACTTTGCTTGGTAAATAACCAGGTTTTTCCATTTCTCTCCAAGGAAATATTTTCGTGAACCGGTTGAGGGAGCAGCCACTTGAATCTGCTTTCTAGAGGAACCCTTTTGGGAGTTTCCTCCCAAATTTGCCCTAAACCAGGACAATAGTCTGCAGTCATAAATGAGCTCTGTTTTCATCCCACTGCTGAAAGTGGTCAAGAGCCCCCAACAGCAAAGCAGTTTCAAAATGACCATTTCTGTGCTGGACACACAGGAATACACGTGAAGTCTTTCAGGCATATCTCAATCTTATCTTATAAAATAAAAGTGTTTTTTCACTTACCATGTCAGTCTCAGATATACTAGAAATACTTGCAATGTCCAGACTCATTGCAATTTGTACAGGCTCTCCTGCAGAGGGAATGAAATGCTTCAGCAGAGAGAAGGGAAGTGTGGAGGGCACAGTGAAGCCACTCAGGAGGCTGTGCAGGGTGGGCACTGTCCCAGCCTCACTCACTGGCACTAAAACTGCAGAGGCCCGGAGGGTCACACACAGTTTCAGAGCATTAGGCTCACAAATTCTATGATCTGAAATGCAGTTGCCACTGTTAGGGAGGTGGAGTTCTGTGTTTGGGGGTGGTAGCAGAGGGCAAATACCCATTAACACTGGCTGCAGAGCTCAGAGTTTAGATCAGCAGCATTCCAGTGGCATTTGCCATCGGACAGGCAGCCAGGGCCACTTTGTCCCTTGATCCCAGCCCGCGCCGGGCACGGAGCGGCCAGGCCAGGAACCTCTGCACAGAGCGCTTCCCACAGCTCAGGGGGTGCTGGGCAGCCCCGGCTCCTGGCGAGGAGGCACCGAGAGGAGAGCAGGTCCCGGTTCCCGAGAACCGGCGCTCCTGAAACGCGGAGCAGCCGCGGCCTCGGCCCGGCCCAGCTCCCGCCGAGACAGGGCCGCGAACCGAGAGCCGCCAGCGCCGCGAGCCACCGCCAGAGGGCAGCACCGGCCGGGACACGGGGAAGGGGGACAGGGAGATACAGGGACAAAGGGACACAGGGACAGGGGGACAGGGGGACACAGGGACAGGGGGACAGGGGGACAGGGGACAGGGGGACAGGGGTACAGGGGGACACAGGGACAGGGGGCCAGGGAGATACAGGGACAAAGGGACACGGGGACAGGGGGACAGGGAGATACAGGGACAAAGGGACAGGGAGATACAGGGACAAAGGGACACGGGGACAGGGGGACAGGGAGATACAGGGACAAAGGGACAGGGAGATACAGGGACAAAGGGACACAGGGACAGGGGGACACAGGGGACACAGGGGGAAGGGGGACCTGGGGATACGGGGCACGGGGACAAAGGGACACGGGGACAAAGGGAGACACAGGGACATGGGGACACAGAGACACGGGGACCCCACGGCAGGCCGGGCTCCGCCGATGCCGAGCGCAGCTCGACCGTTTCCAGCACAGCCCCTCTGCCTGCGGGACAGCAGAGCGGGGCCTTTCCTGCTGGAACTGCTGAAATTGCTGCTCATCACAGGAGTCACAGCGAGGAACCACCAATGCACACCATTTCTGAAACTCTTTCCAGGTGGTTTTGGCTTTGATTGTTTGTTTTAACGGGTTCATAAATTTATCTCGTTTGCAGAAGATGTGTATTTCTGAAAGCAGCTGTTGTTCACGTGTCTGTTCAGACTCAAACCCACTGCATTTACTGAGCACAGGACACGACTGTGAGGCCTCGGCTCCAGGGGAGGTCACACCAGAGTCCTGGCTGGATTTGTTTGACATTTGCTGCAGATGCAGTGGATCTCTGCTCTGTTGTAGAGAAGCATCTGCTCACTGGTGTCACAGGATTTAGAGGAGTTTTTCTAATCCTGCATCAGGTCAGCCATTCTAGGCAGAGCACAATGGTAAATTCTGTATTGTCTCAGACACTTATTACCATGGCCAGAGAAAGGAAGCAGCTCAGGGCTGCCAGTAGCAGCAGGTCAGTCTACAATGGGAAATATCCATAGCATTGTGAAAGCTGATGGGAAATTTTTCTGCCAAGTGAGGTTTCATTAATGGTTCAGGCACAAAATAAAAATTAATAAAAAATAAAAATGGTCATTGCTGTTTTTAAAACTTTCAATGATACTTTTTAGGTTCTGAATGTCATTCTGAGAAACCTGTTCCTCTGTGTGATGACAGCACTAACCTGGAAGGTGGGAGACCTGATACCCAAATTGCTCAATAGCCTCAGATAAGTTCCTAAATTCTTGCCTGCTCCCAACTCCCCAGAGTCTCACTAGGGTTTGAAACAGATTTGTGTTGCAGTGTGAGGTGAAAGCATGTGTCAAAAGTCAATAATCAAGGCAAGAAGAATGGCTTTGTTCCTCTAGAGCTACCTAAATAGCTATAATAGCTGTACGTGACCAAAAGCAAAGCAGAAAATCACAAGGGTCAGGCTCTAAACAAAGGCTTTTATAGTTAGAGCAGAATTTAGTTATTTAGTCAGGTCTTTCATAGAGATGTTAAAGTTTGTAAATTCCCTGTTCTTCACCTCACAGCTGGACCTGAACCCAAGCCCCACACATACCTGCACCAGCTATTCAAGACAGCAGTGGCTGCAGAGAAAGGAGGGCAGCCTGGGACACCAACTAATTTAAAAGAAACACAACCTTTGAAACTGCAGCAAGGTCAAAGCCTGCTCTCCCCTCCACATGAGCATTACAGACCGATTTTAAATGCTCCCCTGTGTGGAGCCAACATACCACCAAAGTAGGGCCGCAGGTATTTGTTGTACCCCATGGTGAGGTTCTCAAATCCAGGGAGGGACGTGGTGCCCCTGCCATGCAAGCTGGATCCATGACCCAGAGAGCTCCTGGGGACACAAACACCAACTGTTACAGGCCGGGCTGGGCACATCTGGCGTGCAGCTGCAGCTGCTTCCAGCTTGTGCTCAAACAAACAAACAAACAAACAATCAAACAGTATAAAATAGTTATTAAAACCAAGTAGATAATTGAAATTACAAGCATTTGCTCACATTGCTGTCCCGGCTGAAAAATTAGCACCTTCAAGAGGTGGGAAAATGGCAAATTGCCTCAGCTGATAGCTACAGGTTGCACACACAGTATCTTAAGAATGTTCTGTTCAAACAGAAAAATCAAACAAGATCTGTAGATCACAAGCCTGAGAAAAAAATCCCAACCTCCCCTTCCCACTCCTTCTTGTACAGTCTATTTAAGGAATATTATTTTCTTTTTTCCTCCCATTTATGACAACCTGAGACAAATCTTGCAGCCCAACAGCTCTTCCTCTCTAATCTCTAGTCCCCTAAATAAGCTTCATCCTCATAACATGTGAGTGTCAGCTTCTACAGCTGCTGTCAGGAATAATACTGGAGGGGACAGGTGGAGGACTGTGCACTTCACAGACACCCCCTCAGCTCTGTGGGCAGTGCTGCTCCAGCTGCTGGCTATCCTGAGGCTATCCTATCTAGATTACAATGTCAACATTTACCTGTTGTGGCTGGTCATTGAAGGCAGAAGCTGTGTTATGAGGCTGACAGATCTGTACCCTCACACAGACAGTGAGAGGGATAGGGTTTGGACTGTAAAAGGTGAGTGTTAGGGTGCAGGGTGGCACTGCCTCACCTGAGAAAAGTGTAACTGAGTGAAAGGTTGGGAGTTTGTTCTTGCTTTGGGCAGCAGGAGGTGGGAGGCAGAGCCTTTGCTGCTCCCAGTGCCAGGACCTGTTCTGGGCAGGAAGCAGCCATGGAGTTACTCACAGCTCTCACCAAGGGTCTTCTTCTGTTTCCTTCACAGCTGGGTTAATAGGGCCTTGGAGATGCAGGATTTAGACTAAGCAGGACCTTACAGCAGAATAAGGTGTTACACAGTATGTATGTAAATACTTCAACAAATTTGGGACTTGTACTACCAAGGATGGTAATAACAGAGCTGGGAACCTTGTGGGAGGCATTTCTGGTAAAGAACTACAGCCTGTGCTGGTTCTGAACAGGAAATCAGGGGCTGCACTGTTGATGGATGTCATGTGGTTTAGGGACCTATGAAGATTGCTCTCTCCTATACCACATCCCTGACTGCACCCTGCCACCTTTGGGTGGGCTGGATAACTAGAAGCATAGTTTCCTTTTGACCCACATTATTTATGTGAAACATCATTCAAATGTTCCCTTTAAAACAAAACAAACTCTACACTTACCTTTGGGTTGGAAGGAAAAGACACAGACCAAAGAAGGAAAAATATCTGCAGAACATGTCTGGAGATTGTTTCTATATTTGTTCTGCTTGTCTGTAAAGAAGAAAAGAAAGACAAAGTCTTGTGGTTTAAGAAAAATTATTTTAATTTTTTTAAGGGAAGGAGACAGGGAGCAGAAATGCTGCACAGTCAGAACCATCACAGATTGATGTTTAACATACCTGATATGCAGTGGCTCCTGCCCTTTTTCCTGACTAGTCTCATTTTTCAGCATGTTCTGTCACTTACCACATAAAAAGCCCTGGTGACAACTCAGGTCTTGAAGTCCTTGACAAATTCTAGCTCCTCTTCTCTCCTCTCAGTATGGGAAGGCAATAGCTGATGTTGAGAATGGCACCACAGGAACGGATTGAGTAAACAGGAGAATGTGTGGGTAGCTCCCAGAGCAGTCAGACTCTGAAGCCAAGAGAGATCCTGCCCACAGATGGCAGTTTCAGCCTCTTTCAGTCGCAGGCTCCCCTGCCCAGCCTCACAGAAGTGCTGTAACTCTGTGCTCCATTGATTGTTCGTGGGATAAACCCCTGCTATTAATGGCAAAGCTGGCAAGCCACTCAGCATGCAGCAGAGCATGAGGTCATTGCACTTCAAAGGGGTTTCGTTGACTTTTCTGGGAGTGGAACCAATCTTGGCTGCTGGCCCGAGACTCCTCGGGCTTGTGCTGGCCTTGGGGCAGGTGCCACAGCTCTGAGCTGTGCTCTGCTCCCCTCTGATCTCCAGCTTCCTGCTGGAAGTGCTGCTCCAGTCACACTCCTTTTCTTCAGACCTAGCACCTCTCTCATCACACATGGCATTTAGAGCCTCAGCCTCCAATGTGGCTGCACCATAATAACCCGAACATCGCGAGTTTTCTGCTTGGGTTAAATCCTTCCTGTAGAGCCCAGAGGACACTCTGCCTCCTCAGCCAGGTGCACAGCTCTGGTGCTGTGCCACGGGACAAGCTGAGCACCAGGAAATGACAACTTTGCCCACACTGAGCCAGTAAAATACCTGAACGTTCAAGTACTATGAATGCAAGGCATCCCACTGGAGAAAGGATGGCGTTTTGTCAAAACACAATACGCTCTAATACCAGTCCCACATCTGAATTTCCAACAAGGCTTTGCTCTTCTAGCCCATTCTCTGAAATTGTACTCAGATGTTTCTAGATGCTCTTAAGGGCTCCTCAGTATAATGTGAGGATGCAGGACCAGAGAGAGAATAATTTACCCACTCACAGCAATATTAGACCACAATTTTGATTGAAAAGAAGGAAGATTGGTCCAGGCTGTTGAAAAAACTTGTAGAAATAATTTAATTTACAAATCAGACTTCAGTTAAAGTATGAGACTTCATGAACTTCATCTGAGGAACCTCTCATGAACATCCCTAATGAATATCCCATGTTTTGCACAGGATGACCGTAAAGACAATAAATATAAAAGATTGGGAGGCAGTGAGACGGAAATCTATAAGTACTCCTGTGCAAGAGAAGGGTGACACCAGTGCCCAGAGCTGAATATAACCACAGTATTTCTTCACTGCTCAGTGTGTCAGTTAATACAACAGCAATTCTGCTGTTATAGGGCAGGAGCTTTCATCAGAGATTACCAGTAGTGGGAAGAAATTGTAATAAGGTTGTGTATTCATGTTTCTCTGTCCAGCAAAGGGTTTCATTTTCACAGAAAAATGTAGCCTTAAACACTGTTTGGTGACCAAAGGCCTAGTCAATACACCAAGAGGCTGCAGCAAACACATGGCCACAAAATCTTCAGTGAACACTTGGGAATTTTTCTTCCAAGCTTCCAGGTAACAGGTAAATGTCAAATAAACTGTGCAGTTCCCCTGGTAATTCAGGATTACTCTCCTTGGCCCTCTGTGATGCCCATGGCAAAGGGAACCGTGCTGGTAGGCCCAGCTGGGGGAGCTCAGCGCTCCATCCCTGCCCGGGCTGAGCTCTGCCAGCGGGAAAGGAGCCATGGACAGGATGGACAGGATGGACAGGATGGACAGGATGGACAGGATCACTGTGTCTGTGCTCTGGCTGAGCACCTATGGACAGAATCACTGTGTCTGTGCTCTGGCTGAGCACTGCCCTGGATGGGAAAGGAGCCGGCAGGGCTGAAGGGAGGGAGCGGGGTGAAAGCAGCTGCAAGTGACGCATTAACTGAAGGCTTGACAATCTGCTGACAGAAAAGCATGCAAAGAAAAAATAGGAGATGGGGCCTCGAGGAGCACAGTTCAGACACAATCATTCATCTTACACATCTATTAGTCTGCGTTTCTGCAGGGCAGAGAAACATTCCTCGCTGCAGGAAGTTTTGGGGGAAAACCAGCCACATACCCTCCCGAGCACCTCCACAGCCCACGTTTACCCAACACATTTATTTTGCTCTTGCAGGCAGCACAGTAAAAGCTGCACTGCAGCTGCACGTCCTTCCATGCCAACATTCAGTTTTCCTCAATAAATACTCAATATCTACAATAAGCACAAAGGTATTTCATCTGGATTGGTTTCCACATTACCTTGTTTTTAAAGGCCATTCAGCACCATGTTTCTTAGTGCAATATGGAATTTAATACAGTAGTAAAACAACCAAGAATTTTTTAAAATTCAGAACAGTTCTCATTTTAAATCACTCAAGAAATAGCATAAATGTTCCCCACTTCTAAGAACAGATAAATTAAGGTACACAGAGGTCAAGTTATTTGTCTTGAGTGTCATCAGCAAGACTATCTGACAAGATGAACAAGCCTGCTGCAGAACACGTACCAGCAGCTCAGATCACTTGAGGCTCACTCTCAGCTCTGCAGGAAATGCTGACAGCAGCAGCACTGCAGCCACACGAAGGCACTGCAGCGTTCCCCCTGCCGCTGTCTGAGCCCGCCCTCCAGATGTGCACTGCCGAATTTCCCTCCGCATTCTGCACATTCCAGTCGGACCCGCTGCCCCTCCCTGCCGGGGCTGGGATGTGACCGGGGGCAGGCATTGCTCTGCCAAGTACCAGGGTTTTTTTAGCTAATCCCTCACACAAGTGACCATCAATAGCTGCTAACCTACTTCCTAAAAGACACAGATCAATTGACATAATATTATAACTCCTTTAAATATTAATGCCCTAACAGGGAGACAATTGCACTGGGCCTAGGGACTCCTCCACTATTAGAAATTATGCCCCAGCATTAAATAAATTAACTCAATAAGTGTCTTACCATGAATACAAATTCCTGCTTAGGGCTTGCAGATAAAATTATTTAGAGCTGTTCTTTGAGGAAAGATGATGTGTTTAAACTTGCAAAAGAGCAAGGGCAGCTTTATGCATTAATCTTTCGTTTCAAATGAACTGCTTTGTTTGAAACTCAAGGCATCCCTTTTAGAATTCAGAGGGAGGAGGAAGAATCTAGAACATTGCTACATTTCTTCCTCTGGGCTGCACAGTTTCAGTCCTGCAAAGATGCAGATGTCTGCTCCGAACCCCAAAGGCAGCTTAGGGCCAGGCCAGCTCTGCCCCAGAGGTGCCCAGTGCCATCAGCATCACACCCCACAGCACAGAGCACTGCAGGACACAGGAGGAGTCCTGGCTGTGGCACTGGCCAGCAATCTGTGCTGCTGCCTTGCTCCTGTGGGGTCTGGCCACCAGCTCTGAGAAACTTCATCTGGATCCCCGAGGCTGGAGGGAGCTATTCGCCGTGCCCCGAGGGAGGTTGAATTTTATCTCTAAAGTGTTTCTGGTTTTTACTTTTCAGTTTGTACATACAAACAGTTCAGAACTGCAAG